GTAGATCATAACAAACTGTGGCTGACTCTGAGAATGGGAATCCCAGAACACTTGATCGTTCTAATGCGAAATTTATACTTGGACCAGGAGGCAGTCGTCAGAACAGAGCAAGGGAACACTGCATGGTTCAAAATTGGGAAGGGCGTACGCCAGGGATGCGTCCTATCTTCATACCTTTTCAACCTATATGCAGAACAGATTATCCGGGAGGCTGGGCTCTATGAGGAGAAATGTGGGGTCAAGATTGGTGGACGATTTATCAACAATCTGCGTTATGCAGATGACACAACCCTGCTTGCTGAAACTGAGGAGGACCTGAAGCGCCTGCTGCAGAGTGTCAAGGACTGCAGCCTACAATATGGATTGAGGCTCAATGTCAAGAAGACAAAGATTCTCGCCACTGGACCAATTGGCAGCATCAGGATGGATGGTGAAGAGAGTGAGATTGTCCACAGCTTTAGTTTGCTTGGCTCCATAGTCAACAGTCTTGGCACCAGCAGCCAGGAAATTAAAAGGCACATTGCCATGGGAAAGTCTGCTGTTAGGGACCTCTCCAAAGTGCTGAAGAGCAATGGTATCTCTTTGGAGACTAAGGTGCATCTGATACAGGCCATGTTTTTTGCAATCACTTGTTATGCATCAGAGAGTTGGACAATGACCAAGGAGGATAGAAGGAGAATTGATGCCTTTGAGCTGTGGTGCTGGAGAATAGTATTGAGAATACCATGGACTGCTAGGAAAACAGATTCATTCTGGAAAGGGTTAAACTGGGTGGCTCCTTGGAGGCAAGGATTCTGAGGCTCCGTCTAACATACTTTGGATATGTTGTGAGAGACCGGTCTTTAGAGAGGGACATCATGCTTGGGAGGGTGGAGGGACAGCGCAGGAGAGGAAGGCCCTCTATGAGGTGGATTGATTCAGTGACTGGGATAATTGGGATGGGAGTGTCAGAGACAGTGCGATTGGCACAGGACAGAGTGGAGTTTAGGGCTGTTGTACATAGGGTCGCTATGAGTCGCAGGCGACTCGACGGCACATAACAACAACAACAAATTCTGTTGAGACTATGAAGTTACCTATGGTATCTCTTTTAAGAACTGCATTTAGGTACATATGTACAACTTATGCCATTTATGCAAAACCTGTGCATAGAACAAGAGCCAGTTGTTTGAGTAGAACAAGGAGATTCTGAGTGGTTTAAAATAAAGTTCTATCCTTTCATTGCATTTATCCCACCTGTATGTTGAGCAAATAGTCCCAGCAATCAGGCTATAAGAATGCCGCAAGTAGGATTAAAGAAAGACTCATTTACAGCCTGTGATATGACACCGCATATCTTGTTGAAAAAGAAGAGAATCTTACTATTTACCACTTACTACTGATGAAGATCAAAGACTGTATTTTTTCAGAATGGATTACACCTAAAAAGAAAACAAAAATCTTTACAACTGGCCCAATAAGCAGTATCATGATTGTATTAGGCTGAGAGAGAGGTGGCCAGATTCCAAGTCTGTGGTCAGACAGCAGATTGGAAAATTCTTCCAACTCACAGGCCAGCAGTTCTGACAAAACTAAAGACAGGCAGGTAAAATGGCAGACTTCTGGCTCACAGGCTACAGTGATTAACAAAATCCCCACATAGCGTGTAATACAGTAGGTGCTGTCTCAAGTCCAAAGAACTAGAAGTCAGATGATGGGCCAGACGGAGGATTTAAATCGAGCGAAAAAGCCAAGAATTTAGCCAGCATGTATGCCTGTCTATCTATCTATCTATCTCTATCTATCTCCTCTTATCTTTCTCTAGAGATGTATCTATCTCTATATCATCTATATCTTTATCTATCTCAAACTCTATCTCTAATCTACATCTATCTATCTATCTATCTATCTATCTATCTATCTATCTATCTAATGCAGGCCACTTTCCCTAAGGAAAAGCCCTTTCAAAATAATTGGCTGTCATAGCAGATTATCATGAAAGATAACACACCACAACTGCTAAACCACTAAGATCATGGCCCTGATATGTTGCCACCTAACTGTAACCATCAAAATAAGAAATAGTAAAAATATATAAATTGTCAAGGATTTGATTTTATGTGGTTCCACAACCAATCTTATGAAAACAGCAGCCAAGAAATCAAATTATATATTGCACTGAGCAAATATAGTGTAAAGGAACTCCTTAAATTGCTAAAGAACAAGGATGTCACTTTGAGGACTAGGTGCTCCTGACCTACACTCTGGTATTTTTAATTCCCACATATGCATGTGAAAACTAGACAATGAGTAGGGAATGTCAAAAAAGGATGGAAGCCTTTGAATTATGATATTGATGAAGAATATTAACTATACAATGAACTGCCAGAACAACAAATAGAAGTACAACCAGAATATTCTTTAGATATTTTGAGTGTGCTGTTGGAGGAACCAATCCCTGGAAAAGGATATCAGGCTTGGTAAAGTGGAGGATCAGAGAAAAAAGGAAGATCCTCAATGAAATTGGCTGACGCAGGGGTTGCAGTAATGGACACAAACATACCCAACAATTTTGAGGATGGTACAGGACCAGGCAGTATTTCATTCCGTACTACATAGAGTCAATGGCATCTAGCAAACAAAAGAAAACCAGCATGTACTTCTAGAGGTTACTAACAGAAAGTCTACTCAAAAATCCACCATCATAAGAACATGAGAACAGTCCAAATGTCCAACCACAACTGAATGGATTGAGAAACTGTGGTACATTTATACAATAGAATACTATGCAGCATTCAGGAGCAACGATTTAGAAAAGTACTACATAACTTGGCAGGGACTGGAAAGCATTATGCTGCGTGAACTCAGTCTCATAAGAACAAATACTGCATAAGACCATTATTGTAAAAATCGAAGGAAAGCTAATAAAATATGTATGGGGACCCAGCAGGGGGAAAGGGTGGGAGCAGAGGAGTGAGGATGGGTAGGGGTGAAACCACAGGGTTGTACAATTTGGTGGATGAAGGGAAAAAGGTGAAAGAAAGGGAAGAATTCAGTGGGGACTTAAAAAAACAACAGGGTGATTTTGGGCAAAGTCCAAGAGTCCACAATTAAGGTTGCAAAGTGGAATGTACTTGGGGTGGTGGGAGGGGTGTGGGGGGTTTGTGTCCCAGGGAGGGTTTCTTTTACTTGTGAATGAGAGAGGAGCGAACTGGGAGGGGGGGAGGGCTGGGCGGGGAGAGAAGTGCAGCAATGAATGAATGGAAATCCAAAATCTCTGTAAATGCTCATTAAAATGAAAAATAAAAAAGATCAAAGACTATATGGCCTTCAATATAGGTTACACTTAAAAATAAAGAAAATTAAAATCCTCATAACTGGATAAATAGGAAATGCCATACTAAATGAATAAAAGATTGGAAAAAAAATAACATGGGAATGACTGTATGAAACACAATGTGAATGAAGATTAGTGTGAAACATAATGCATATGTATTTTTTAAGCAAACCAATAAGGAAAAAAGTCCACAAAACCCCCTCCAGCTTCAAATTCCAAATCTAGGGAGGCTAGTGTAAAGTGAAAATGAGTCTTAAAAACTTGAAATAAAATCCATTCGAGATTGAAAGAAAATGTCATGTATTTTTAAACGTCATTTCAAAAAGAAGTCACAACAGTCCAAGCACAGGTTTGTGTTATTTTTAATAGAAAAATCTATCTTATGCTACTACAATGAACTAGATCATATCAGAGATCTTGAGGATGGTGCAGGATAAGGCAAGGTTCAGACCATAAAGTCTACATAAGTCGTCTACCCCCCCACCCCCCACACACACACTTTCATTCGTTTAAGATTTCTCTATTAGGACTTTTGGTAATTTTGTTCAAGTTCACACAGTCACAGGATACAATTAAAACAATTCATTTCCATTCCACTGAATGACAGCACCTCGTTTATTTATTTATGTCTATGATTTCTTTAATGGTTTTACTGAGATATAATTCACATTCTATACAATTCATCCATTGTATGAATTGTAAGTCTATGTATATGTAAGTCTATGTGTATGTATATGTAAGTCTATGACTCAGTGACTTTTAGATCTATGCAACCATCAGCATAATAACTTGAGAACACTTTCACCACTTCAAAAAGAAATTCCTTATCTATGGGCAATCGTCTCATTTTCTATAAAATCATACAATGTGGCCTTTTTTGGTGAGCTTCTTTAATTGAGCATAAAGTTTAAGGTTCTTCCATGTGTTACATTTATCAATATTTCATCGCTTTTTGACTGAATAATATCCCGCTGTATGGATAGATCACACTTCATTCATTAGTTAATAGACATGTAAGTTTCTACTTTTGCCTATAATGAATAAATGTGTTACAAAAATCTGCGTCTGTCTCTCCTTGGGAAGCTTCCCATGCCCTCCCCCAGTGACCATCATTGCTGTCTTTGCCAACCATGTCCACTCCATCCCCAGTACAACTGACTAAATTTCAAAGGCCCCAAGGCTCTCTGGATTCTAAATGTGCCGAATGCTATCAGATAGTGCAACATGCTTGAGAGGTGCTCAGTGAATATTTGTGGAATAAATGATCCATAATGTTTACCATCTATCAGTGTGAGTGCACTCTCACTGTCTATGTGATTGGAAAGGATCAAAAGAACTTAGGACTTAGCTGCATTTACCATTTGTTAATTGACAGCAGATTTCTGCAAAGATCAATGCACTTGGAGACCTCAGCTTGTTCGTAAGACTCTCTTCTAATTCATTGGGATAGAAACAATACAGATTCCGAGGCTTAGGAAGCACATTCGTAAAGATTTGAGCCATTAGAATAATCAGGAAGAAGCCACAAAGAAGTGGTTTAGCTGAACAAATACTATTTATTTTCTTTTCTATTTTAGAGACATTGCGCTATGCATCTCTGGATTAAATTCACTGACATTCAGGGTGAATTTCACCTAATCACCTGATCCCAGCATGTAAGGGATGGATGACCTGAACGGCTGGATCACAATTTATTGATAGGAGACCCCGCCAAACTCTGCCATTGTTGCAAAGGCGGATTTCCCAGGGAGGCCAGTTTCTTCAGATAGTCACTGGGCTCCAGTTGGGGAATATCAGGATGTTGTCTGTAATACGTCTGCAGCTTCTCCAGCACCGTGGGCAATCCAACCGTGGAGGCATAGAACATGGGCCCACCCTTGTGCCTCGGCCATGCATACCCGTGTAAATAGATAACATCAATGTGCTCTGGACTAGAAGCTATCCCCTCATCCAAGATACGGAACCCTTCATTGATGAGCGCATAGACGCAGCGCTCACGGATCTCATCCTGGCTAATGCTACGCGGTTCAATGTGATGGGTTTCTCGGTACTGAGACAGAAATTTGGAAAGCCAGGGGTCAGGTTTGTGAATCCTACCCATGGGTTTGTCATATTGGTACCATCCCTTCCCTACCTTTTGACCAATTCGCCCTTGTTCACAGAGCATATCAGGGATTGGGCAGTATCTTCTGCTGCCTCGTTTTCGTGCAGGAGTCCCTGGAGGCAATGAAGGTCCAGTAAGACCCTGCCCCTGACGAGATCTCCAACCCACATCCAAGCCAGCAAGATCGGATGTTCTAAAGGGTCCCATTTTAAACCCAAACTCTTCCAGGACTTGATCTACCTCCTCTGGCTTACTACCTTCTTCTACCAAGAAGGTCGCCTGGATGCCTAAAGGGAACAACATTCGATTCCCAACAAACGCAAAACAGTTCCCTACGACTACCCCAACTTTCTCCATCCTTTTTGACAAGCTCATAACAGTAGCAATGGTCGTGGGAGAGGAGTGCTTGTTGGGAATAACCTCTAACAGCTTCATGACATGAGCTGGTGCAAAAAAGTGGGTGCCAATGACCAAATGAGGGCGGTCAGTGACCAAAGCAATCTCATCAATATCCAGAGCTGAAGTGTTAGTACATAAAAGAGCTTCCGGCTTGCATATGGCTGAGAGTTCAGCGAAAACCTTCTTTTTTAGGTTCATGTCCTCAAACACTGCTTCAATGACTAAATCGACACCACTGAGCTCTTTCATAGATGTGGTAAACCTGGGTGTGGGTGTTGACCAGGTCTGGCCATTCTGTTGCACTCTGGATGCATCCTTTTCCAAGATGGAGGTTATCATCTTGTTTGCTGTTTCTAGCTGCTGCTTGTCTGACTCCACACCAATTACAGGGATCTTGGCCCTGGCCAGAGAAATGGCAATTCCTCGGCCCATTGTTCCCAAGCCTGCAGACAAGAGAAGAGGAGAGAAAAACCAAGAGTTGATACTGAGTACTGGAGACCTTCTACTGGATAAAAAGTCCCTGCAGAAATAGGGGATCTAAAGAGATGGCTTCAAGGAATACAACAGATTATTAGTTAAGGAAAGACCCTGTCTTAAGTGCTTCAGAAGATAAGCAGGATTCTATCAGCACAGCGGCTGGTACAGGAAATGCACTTGAGAATGGAGGGGGAGGGAATGGGGGATAAATCTGTACAAATGAATGAAAAGCCAATTTCTTTATATGAAGAAATTTTTTTTCTTGTTGTGTACCGTTGAGTCAGATCGACTGGCACAGGAGGAGATTGTCCCTCCTTCTCCAATGGAGCATCTGGTGGATTTGAATCCTGCACCTTCAGGATTGCAGCACAGCTTCTTGACACTAGGCCACCAGAGCTCCCTTGAAAAGCCAATTTCTTAAGAATAGGTAAGATTCATAGAGTGCCACAAGGTTACATTTCCACCCACAAGTAATGAACAATCTGAAAATGAAATTAGGATAAGTATTCCATTTACAACAGCATCAAAAAGGGGGAGGGTGGGGAAGCAGGGCAAATATTTCAGACTTTACATGGTTTTATACAATGTACCTTATATTTCCCCCTTAATTTTTCAAAGGTGAATAAAAGTCTGGGAAACATTAAAAAAAAATAAAGACAATATTTAGGATCAAATTTAACAAAAGATGTATAGGAGCTATACTCTATAAATGAGAAAATATTGGAGGAAAGTATAGAAGGCCTAAAAATCTGTCCATCGGTCAAAAAAATTTGGGTCCTAGAATAATTTTGTGCAGTAAGCAAGAAATTTTTTTAATCTGCGATATGCAGAAGACACAACCCTGCTTGCTGAAACTGAGGAGGACCTGAAGCGCTTGCTACTAAGGGTGAAAGACTGCAGCCTCCAATA